GCAACGGATCACAAATCTCACGGTTCGGATTATATAACATTATCATATCACATTTTGAGTCACAGATCAGATCATTTTTCAGATGAGCAAAAAAAAACATGGTTCTTTATTATTTAAGTAACACTTATTATTTAAAGCTATATATATATATATATATATATATATATATACTTATAATGACGTGACAGAGATACGTAATGGAGGCAGGGCATTTAACAATTTAACAAACTTTATTATCCAAAATGAGTTTGACATCAGTGCACTGAACAGTAAAGTTGAAGTTTATTCAACTTTAATTCAATTCCATTCAACTTTATTCCGTTGAAGTTTTTCACTTCGGAACATTCATTCACGGATTTGCACTACTGTCTTCACACACAGACGAAACTTGCTAGAGAAGTGTGAAGTGTGACATAATATACCTTTGAAAATAAATAAAATATAAATAGGGATGCACCGAAATGAAAATTCTTGGCCGAAGCCAAAACCAAACAATATTAAACACTGGGCCGAAGGCCGAATACCGAACACGGGTTTTCAATTTTTTTTCCCCCATGTAATTTACCAACTCTTTTTTCACCATTGCATAAATTAAAAATTTGTCACATGCCTTGTAAAAATTCATAAAAATGTGACTGAGCAACTGACGACTGTATCGGCGCAGATTTTCCTCGTGCTTTGTACTTTGAACCCTGGTTAACAAGCAGATCTGCTGCAAGTTCGTGCAGCACTGTCAGAATACACGCAATGCGCGTGTATTAGAAAACATAACGTTCTGCAGTTTATTTACTAATTGTTTAAGGCCATTTCGCGATTTCAATCATCATACATTAACCAGCAACAATCACCCCTTCCTCTTCTCATTGAAAACACGCGAGGCAGTCCTAAACAGTCTCTCGCTGTCGGTGCTTGTAATGATTTTTGCGTCTTTCTCCGACAGTTTAAATGCTTCCACACTGTGGTTGTCGAACATTCGGTGCATCCCTAAATATAAATTACCTTCTCGTGCACTTTAATGCCCTTTGAATGTAACGTGTACATTCCCTTGGAACTGGAATCATGGTGGAATTTCATGTGAAGTCCACTTCGCAGGGCACTTACGGTCGAATAAGACCACGCTTGAATGCTGCTGCCTGAACAAGAGACCTCCTTACTGAAGTGAAAGTGTTGACTTCTGTCACTATCTCGCAAACGCGCCGGCGGATCTCCACCAAATTTGGGGGATCCCTCTCGAACGCGAATCGAGTGTACGTCTAGAGGCCCGCTTTTGAATGAGACCGCGGATTCCTGCAGATTCGCCGCGCCGTTACGGAGATGGCCATTCAACGTTTCAATGGTTTTCCATAGACTAAGCTTTAAAGCGCTTCATCCAAGTCGCCAGTAGCAAACAATAGCGCGTGCTCTGCTGGACAAACTAAGTAATTACACAATTCCAAGCATTTTATCTGCATTATATGTTCTAAAAAAAAAAGTTCATGTCGGCGGCATATTCGCCGATGCCGATATATCGGCCGATAATATCGGCAAAACGATATATCGGTCGGGCTCTAGTACAAATGGAACAAAACCACTTGTATTTATGAACTGTGGAAAATATCAACTGTGGTGTGATGTCTGCATTGTTGTAGTAACTAAAAATCTCCAAAACTGTCAAATAATTTTCTCCAGTCCTCATGCAGACTGGGAAGCAGACTGTGCAGCCTCAAATCCGTGTGGCCATGGGGTCATGGCAGTGACATGGTGCTTCTTGTCCAGTGTGTGACTGTCTTTGTTTTGCTAATGTTGGAGTCTTCTGGTCGAAGGACATAATTTACGAATCATAACCTGCCAAATTGGCTAGTAAGTTTTGTAACCCACCATGGTTAGTTATCTCAGTTGACGGGTTAATTTAAAACTCTGATAATGAGCAAAGACATTTTTCCACAGCCTTTTCCACAGTTTTGCTTATTTACCAAGGGTGCCAATATTTCTGGAGGACACTGTGTGTGTGTAATATTATCTTCGCCACAAGGATGAAATCGTGCACTCCACTAGTCATAATTGTCATTGAAAACTGAAATGTTTGTCTAAAACATAAATGTTGTCTTTAGTAGAGGTAGACCGATAGATAGGATTTTATCGATACCGATAGCTAGGTTGGACCACACTGGCCGATACAACCGATATTTTGTTTTTTATGGATACTGAACAAAAACTAAAATAGTGCTTTACTATTTAAAAAAAAGTACTGCATCATACTTTGTAAATAAATATTAATATTAAATATAGAGGTTTTGGGCATTTTTAAATTGATCTGCATCAGCCGATTGTGCTGCAAATTAGGCCGATTTATAGGCAAGCGCACTGGCGGGCAGCAAAGCATTGTTGCTGAACTTCTGGCTGTGTGAGACGGAGCAGCTCACGCTCTGCAGGCTGCAGCCGTGCCTTGCTCACACACAGCCTCAGCAAATGGCAGGGCAAAACAGACCGTTTCGAAAGAAAGCGGATTGCGTTTTACCCTACTAGAATTGATGCCGGAAAGTTATCATATTCATAAGTGCAACAAGTCATTTGCATGTGAAAGTAGAAACACGTTCAATTCAGACGAAACTGCTGGGCTGATTATAACGTGCACGTTAACTTTCCTCATGAAATGTGTCTGTGGATTCGACAATAGCCTCCACGATGTCATATATTTGCTCGTGGCCAGCGCACTCTTAAGCAGTTATGAGGCAGCAGGCAGTGCAATATGTGTGAAATCTTTTATTTTTGTTATCACTATGGCCATTTGACTTATAGCAGTGTCCAGTGTTTCCTATACATTGAGTTATTTGTGGCAGCTTATCACAATATCAAAACTGACCGTCACAAATAGATTTTCCAAAAGGCTTATACTTCGTTGAATAAAATGAGCGTTTCACGTTTCAAAATTAAAATGCAGCGCGGGTGTTTTTATATGAATGGATCTTTGAAAAGAACCGACTGTCTTCAGAAAAGCTTCGATGTCATTATCATTTCGTCTTTCCTGTAATGCCTGATAGTGTTTGTGAGCAGCGCTTATTTGATTACAACCTTTACCAGGGAAACCGCTATATATCCAGCTCCCAAAGCGCCTCCTGCTGGCAGAGAATTAATTTGCAGTCTGTGGGAAACACTGGTGTCTGTCAACTGTTTTGAGAAGGTGCTCAAGTTTTGAGCTATGTATTATTACTCTAAATTGGGCTACTACTACCATTACTATCTTTCGGTCTGAAAAGTGAGGTGTGCTCTGATTGGCCAGCTATCCAGTGCGTTGTGATTGGCCGAATACCTCAAGCGTGTGACGGAAATGTTACGCCCCTCACCATACTGTTGATGCCGTGTCCGGCCGGAGCGACTAGACAAAAACATTAAAACCCATTACAAACCAGGCATTTGTTGCATCCAGTGGGGACATAATTACTTATTATAATGACTTACACTGTCTTTTTACAAGTTGCGTTGCATTGCGCCGCGTAAACATAAAACCCTGTCTGCATTTGTGATCGGAGAAATGACAAACAACAAGTGCTACTCTACACTGCCCAAAACTCGCGTTTGAATCATCAAGTGGCAAATTCTTTAAATGAAAACGTACTTACAGACTGTTAGTCAGAACAGCCGGCATTGTAGTCTACTCTCCCAGGATCAGGAAACAGTCCGCCATAAAATGTGCTGCACACATCTGGATATTTGGGTTAAACTGTTCTGAAACAGTGTTGTAAATACAACTTAACCACTGATTTCTAGTCATGTCCTCTTTTGGAAGACCAAACAAAGTAGTTTCGCTTTCACAACGAAAAACACTGCAGCCTAGCGTGAGCTGAGGCCGGGCTAGAGTGAGCAGAGGCGACGGGGTCGAGAACGGCGCACCCGGCGGATTCGACGAAGGAGCAGCAACCACATGTGACGACCCCGTCCGCTTCGTCCACGGTGAAAGCCGATCCGGCAATCCACAGCACTAAGTTGATGTATTCCCTCAGCGACCAGCACAGATCAGCTCCAGGCATGACGAAGTGGATATCGTCCTCTTTTGAAGGCCAAACAAAGTAGTTTCGCTTTCACAACGAAGCACACAGCATCTTCACGACATGGCGGCAGCGGCAACAATACTACAGTGAGAATAAAAGTGACGCCGCCTTTCTTTGCGTAAACATTTGGGTGGTGTTATGCAAATCTTCCCACATAGTGAGGTAGATATGTGGGGGCGTGTTAGAACGATCCGTTTTAGGTAGGCGTGGCTGACTCTTATAAAGAATATCTCTTTGGATTTGAGACTTTAGTCTTTGCAACTTTACAGATCTTCTTTATGCACCAAGAGCTTGTAACATTCCAAAGAGAAAGGAAAAAATTGAAATCGCATCATATGACCCCTTTAAATCTGCAACTTCACTGGCTAACAAATGCATTAATGTGACCAGCATGATACAAACTGACGCAAATAGATGGTAACAATCGTGACAAGCATTTGGGTCAGACTTGCGCGTGTTTTGGTCACGTTGTTTTAACCGCTTGAGGTTTTTGCGTCCTCTCAGCCTTAATAGCAAACATACTGCTGTACTTTCTCCAATAATGCAGCATCTAGTCAATAAATTAATTACTTAGTAATGATATGAAAACATGCACTACTATATACTGTGTACACACCGCTTAGTTGTCGATGTTTTAAATCAGCATGAAGTGTCCCGCTCTGTGTAGCACTCGGTGTCACGTGTCAAAACAAACAGCACGTGTTGTCAGTGATTCTGCCTCTAGAGGCCGCTCTTGTACTGTATGACAGCGGAGCTTCTCAGCTACTCCAGCAATGGACACAATCCAGAAAAACTACAGAGTTCCAGAAATCAACTATCCGTGCCGATTAATCGGCAAAACCGATACATCGGTTGACCTCTAGTCTTTAGTAATATTCCTAGTTCATGGATATAGATGAGAAATACAGTTGGTGCAAGTAGCCTGTGTTTATCAAAGACCAATATTAACTTTGCTTTTGCTCATTTGTGCAGATGCTGGGTCGTTTATTTACTTCTACACCTGACATGCAAAGGTTAGTAGTCACAGACCTCAGTTAAGATATTTGGTCTCTGTTGATGTATTTTGTGTGGTTTTTGTCATCATTTATTTCCTAAAGTAAAGTTGTTATTTTTTTCCCCAGTGTCTCTGCAGAACTCTGCAAATAATTTTGATCGTGTTGTTGGAGACTCCGTCACCTTGCCATGTATATATGAGAATCAACAGCCAAGTACTGATGTATTTTGGCGACTCAATGTAAGCAAGAGAGTGTTAAATATTATAGATGGCAAACCCTCAACAGAAAAGCAGGATGAAATGTTCAAGAATCGAACAGAAAGTTTCCCTTCAGAGTATGCAAAGGGAAACTACTCAATTGAGCTGAAAGATCTGAAGTTGACTCATGCAGGAAACTACACTTGTTTTTTACAAAAGTCAAATGAGGAAAAGAAGATGCAGCTTTTTGTCAAAGGTACATGCAATATTCAATACATTTAATAAATTACAATTTTAAATTGCATACCACAGTAATAGCAGCATTTTATATCTATACAACACTGAATTGCTTCTCTCTACATTGTACCTTTTTTCTTACAGAAAAGCCTCAGAAACCAACTCAAAAGCAAAGAAACTCATGCTTAGAAACAGAGTCACTGAAGATTATGACTTTACTAACTGCTCTACTGGGACTTACTATGCACCTTATCTGAGTTTTCCATCCAGTGCCTGTTACATTTGGTAGTATTTAGTGACCGTGACTAGCTGGGTTTGCTGTTGACACTTGATGCTGCAGGTTTTATTCTAAATCTCAATCAGTTATTTTATTGCTTGTTTGGACGTTATATTTTTCATACCCATTATGTTTGAACCACTGGATCGCACACATGCTGTGTGTATGCTATCAGTCTGGACTGTGCTGTTGACTTGGGTTCCGTTCATATATCTGTAGTATTAGGGGCCAAGCACCGCAGCTATTGTATTCGTTAGTATTCTTATTATTCTGAACCTTAATAGAGATGGCTCTCTGTCTAATACCAATACCACAGCTTTGAGTATCTAGCTACCAATACTTTTGATGTTGTTGATACATTTCACAGTAGTCATCTACTCATGTTCCCTGAGACATGTTGAGTACCACAAGATTAAAAATGTGGTGCATATTAATCCAAATGGCTATAACTCTTAAACAAAATTAGCTATTTTTACCAACCTTGAAACATCGAATCCTCACCATGCCTGTCATATCAGTTTCTTCGTGTCAATTTTTATTCTTTTTTTCCTCATTTCAATGGTCATATAAACAAAATTACAGCTACACTATATAACTTTTTTGGGGGTTAAAAAAATAGATTTAAAACCGGTTATGCAGTGTTTTGTTTACATTTGATTAATTTCTGTAGTATTTCGTACCTGAACGCTATTAACTTCCTAATATCAAGTCTTTAAATTTAAATATGAAGTCAAATAACTTACTAATATCTTGGAAGTATCATGAAGTATCATATCATAAAGTAATTTGGTCATATTGCCTACCAGTAGTATGATTGAACACACATCTGTTTGTGTTATCTTCAAAGAGTTAATTTTTATTTTTTTTGTAACAATCTGCTAAACCATTAAAAATAAAGTGATGTATTTAGAAAAAAAAAATGAAGTGTTTTTAATTCATGTCTGCACAAACTATATATATATATATATATATATATATATATATATATATATTAAATGTAAAGTTGTGATTAATTTGTTACATTAATTTGGAGGGTTTTCTCACTGATTACCTACCCTGAAGAAAATTTGACTGGCAGCTGTATGACTTTATAAATGAATATTTTTCAGTCACTGAAACCTTTTTTTTGAGCACATGATATAACTTAGGGGGTAGTTCTGAGCAGAGTTTGTTTTGTGGAGTTGCCTTTCCATCACCTGCATTATTGTCAACATACAGTTATATTCACGTTCATAATGGCATTCCATATAAAATTGTATGCATTGGCAAATAATAGGACTGCGAAAAGTGGATGTTACAGAATGAAATAATGTTGAAGCGGACCGGTAAAAGGAATTTTGTAGGATTTATAGTTGACAAGAAAAGTAGTTTTAGAGAAAGATTGCAATATCTACAACAACATTATTTTCTTTGTAATAATATGTACCGTGTATATTAGTAACAGTATGTAAGGTACATCATCATTTTATACTGTTCTGTAATTACACATTTTGGACATGTTCTTTGAGAGCACCTTCTGGTGGGATCCCCAAACAGCAAATATACAGATTTTCTCACAACCCCTGATTTGAATATGTGGTCAGTGTTACTGTGATTTTGGCTATATTATATACATAAGTGCGGATTTCACTGCACTATTGTTCCATTCAAAAATGAGTTGGTGTTTTACAGATCATTAAAATACATGGAAAACAAAAGGCTCTTATGCAATCCTTTGTGTGGTTGTTTGTTTTCTTGTAGTTTAAATGTAGTGTTTTACATGAGTGATTTTGTCATTCTAAAAAGCAACATGGCAAGCTTCCCAAGTTTTTGAGAAAAACCCAAATAGTAGGTATGGATTCATGTTCAAACTATTTTCTGCTTATTTTTATGTTGTTCAGTCTTTGGTTGTCTTTTTCAAAAAATGGCAATTTATAGTTGGACAAAGGGTATTTTGATAACTTTTAAGTATATCTTTAAAGTACAGCTGGCTCTGGCCTGCCCCCATATGATGTAAATTTAACTGGAAAAAGGGATGAATAAATAAAAGTGCTGTGTGGGCATTTGTTCATCTCTGACTTCCCCTCTGGTCTGTGTGGTCGAGGTTTCATCTAAAGCTCAGTGATGTTTCCGCTCACAGTACGAGATGTTTGAATGATCACAGAATAGAAGATATTCATCTGGATCCGACGATGAAGATCATCCAGCTCCAGATCTGTGAGTTTATCACATCACATTTGATTTATAAAAAGGTTTTGATTTAATGTCTTAATAAACGTGTTTTATTTTTCTCATAGATCTGTTCATGTGGTCTCAAGCCACAGAGAGTCTAACAAACACAGCAGTAAGTTTAGGAGCTGATGTGAATATAAGCTGTGATCTTGATATAGAGGAGATTTACTGGTACAAACAGAAGTCACCGGATCCTCCAGTGTTGATCTTACGCACTTATGATAGCACATATGAAGGAGCACACTATGAAAACATCACCTTCAAACACAAATACTCAGGGAAAACTAACAGTCGTCTGTTCATCAGAAATATCACCACTGATGAATTAGGAGTTTATTATTGTGTGAAAACTAGTGAACCACTCAAATTCAGCAACGGCACCAAAATCTACATCAGCAGTGAGTTGTTTTATCGTTTCATGTATTTTAAATCCATAAGATGGATTTGTGCTCTATATTAAATATGTACGGTGTTAAACATAATTAAAAAAAAAAAAGAATAATTGAATTAAAAATGTATTCATTTTACAGACTCGGTCCACGAGAATCAGACAGAATCACAACACGAGACACCATGGAGAAACCTGACCATCACATCTGTCCTGCTGAATGTGCTTTTGATCATTGCATTAATAGGTTTGTCTTTTTTAATCTTTGTTTAGGTGAAGGTCTATTTAAACTTACTATACAAGTAGACAAACTCTAGATCAGAACACATTTGAACAACATCCATCCATATTTTTTGTTGTCTTATTTTAATGGTCACAAGTTGTTATGATACAGCAATGCTTCATTTACTGTCATTTCAGGCTTGGGAAAGAGCTATCTTCAGACAAATCGATTGAAAATTTGTTCAGAGAACCCTCAAAGTACCACAGCAGCTCAGTACTTAAATGATTCACAGGTAAGACAATAGTTTTTAATGAGCTTTTTCAAATAATGCCTTATGAGTCTTTCTGCAATACTGATTGGTCGGGTTGTGACATTCTGTAGACAAATAATTGTATGTAATGACCACTAAAATACATATTTGACATTGCACTAGTCAGTTATAGAAAACTAAAATCATAAAACTAAAACGATTTTTTGCTATTTGAAATCAAATAAACATTAACTGAAATAAATATTTTATTTCAGCTAGATGTCAAAAAAATATTTTTCATTTTCTTTTAATTTAACTTAATGTAATAAAATAAATAAAACTAAAATATCTAGACATATTAAAAAAAAACTAATACAAATAACATACACAACAACATTACAAAACATTAACTAAAAAAAAAAAAAAATTTTAAACTAATTCAAACGATTAATAAAAGCAACAATAGTATCTTAAAGATAATAAAATAACACTGGTGCTAGTTTCATGTTTCTCATATAACTTGGTGCCTTCTTAAGTGTCATAAGTAATTTGTCAAATCCCTATTTCATGTCCATTTATTAATTTATTTGGTAAGATGTTCAGTGATTATTGCAAAAATAAACCAGTTCATGACGTTACAAGACCCCTCTACTTTATGTAGGATTCTAGATCACCCTATGAGCATTTATTTTCTGATAATGGCTGTCTGACTGTATATTATTCCTTACATTTATTAATATCTTAATCTTTCAGTATGCTGAGGTTGATTTTTCCATGCACCCCGGTGGAAACAGGCCTTGCCAGGAGCAGACCATCTACTCTCTTCTCCAGCCAATAAAAAGTATGAAGTAACATACATTATAAATATAATGTAAATATAACAATATATATTAAAGTTTGTTTAACATTTCTGTACTTCCATTTTTGGGGGATTTCATAGTTTGACGTGTTATTCTAAAATGTTTAAAACCGTAAACAAATAAGTGAATGTGTAAATGTTTGCCTGCTGTTGTTTAATATTTATATCAAGTTGCAGAGCATTGAACAGAAAGATGAACTGAGATCAGATTCGAAACAAAGTTGAACTAAATCTGTTGACAAGATTACAGGACTGCTTGTATGAATGCATGCAGTTCACAGTAATGATCAGTTTCGAGATGATTTGTCACTTAAACTTTTAATGCTCCACGCGAAAAATATAACTAATATTCTTACTGGCTGAAAATAAAACACTAAACGTAGTGGACACTGGGGCTATTTGGCACAATAGGAAGTGGTCACAGTTATTATAACGTTTAAAGGTGTGTTTTTTTGACATGTGGTTTAACTGTAAGGTTGAGTTGAGTCGTAACAAGAGTATTTTGCATGTTGTTTGTGTGTTACCATGTATATGTTTGCTGCTATTTGAATTGTTTTGTTTTTTAATGAGCAGATGCGCAGTGTGGTAGGTATGATGCTCTTGTCTGTTATGAAATGTTCCTGTTTTGAATGGAGATCTTGCTTTTACAGCTCTTGCTTCAAACTAGCAGTGAGTTGCATGTAAACCACAGGGTAATGAGGTTTCTTGGAGCTGAAGCAGCTTCTCAACAAGTTTCGTGAAACATCATGCAATGAATAATCCTTAATCTTGAACCATACATCACATCTGCTAGCAGTTTCGAAGATAACATTGTTTTTCACAATTCAGTTGATATAGAATTTTCTGCTTTCTGCTAATATTTTGTTTCATAAAGATTCAATGTACAGCTGGAAATCTCAGGAACAACTTTCAATGTATGTACTAAAGAGATTTTTTTTTTTACTTATTAATAGTTCTTAATATTTTATAAATGTTAAAAAGTCTTCTGCACAGCTCTTCTTTGTGGTTAACACAGCATGTATTTTTTTTTCTTTTTCTTTGCAAATTGTTTCACATTTTGGTCACTTGATTGACAGCACTGTCGATGAGTATATTTCTAGTCATAGATCAAGGTAGATGCCATGTTTACTTGTATGCATATGCAAGCGAAGCTGCGAGGCATAGACATACAGTCTTTTTAATGGCATGCAGTGTAAAGGTCCTAGATCACATGCAATTTAAAAACTTTTTGTCTACTGAAAGTTATTTGTAAAGATGCTTTTCTAGCTAAACAATTCATTGAACACTTCTATCCTTCATAGCTTTGTTTTCATTCCTGTCCGAGATTAAATAAGCTCTATACTGCATGTGCCTGCGCTCACCCCTATGGGGTAGGATTTAGTTTTTGGACTTCAATAAAGCCTATCTAACTCTGCATTGAGTCTTTGCCTCAACAGCACGTTACACCGGACATCATAAACACCAAACATCCAGTGGTTTAAACTAACCTAGTTAACATGACCGGAAACAACTTAAACAAATACACCTGAGTTTCACCCTTTCTGATCTGTCTTATTCTAAAAATCTCCTCAACCCGAACAAATATTTCAGGAGGAAACAAGAAACTGTTAGCATGGATAGCATGGCCTGTTGGCACCTGCTGCTATTTGCTGTAACTACACCATTTGATTCCAAAGAGGGAAAAAACATGAACAAAACTACACAAATGGCATGCAGGCTAATTACAAAAATAGTTTGTGTTGAGCACAATTTGTTTTATGTGGAAATTACTGACTGCCAAGAACAGAATGAAAGACTATTTTATATAATGGCATTAGGCTACAATTGAAGGTCAAATTAGTTTGTTATCTTGGGTCATATTGCTGTGTGTACAGGTATGAAATATGACATTAATACTTTTAATTTCTGAAGACCATATATATATATATATGTCAATGGTTGAGTTTTGCACAAATATACATGTGGTCAGAGCAAACCTCCCTTAACTTCCTCTTGTCCTCAGGTGTAAAGTTTTAACTCTAAAGTCATGCTGAAGTATTTTAACATCCTGAAATCCATGCAGCTTCTTCTCTGAGTACTTCATAAATATATATATATATATATATATATATATATATATATATATATGCTGTATATATATAAAATAGTATTCAATGTGCTTTGTTAATTAATACATTTATGATGTTTTAGACACAATTATAATGCAAATTGCTTTGTGTGTGTGTGTGTGTGTGTGTGTGTGTGTACCTACTTAACCATATTTTGGGGACAAATTTGTACCCAAAAGTGAGCTAAACCTGACAAAATCTCCAAAAACCTCCCTTTGGGGATGTCCTCATTTGTAAAACTGGTATAAAAATAAAGTAAACAGAGTTTTATTTTAATTGTAAAAATGCAGAAAGTTTTCTGTAAGGGGTAGGTTTAGGTGTAGGGTGATATAATATACAGTTTGTACAGTAGAAAAACAATTACGCCTATAGAATGTCCCCATTTAGATAGCTAAGTAAACGTGTGTGTGTTTTATCACAGATCTGCTCATGTGGTGTTGAGCTGCAGAGATTTTAACAGATCAACTTAACACATATGGGTCAAAATGTGACCATAAACTGTAATGTAAAGGTGGTTAATTGGTTATTATTGAAACCAGCAGATTCTCCAGTTCTGATATTACGCACTTGCTCCTCTACATTGTCTGTTCAATAAATAATCTCACTATTGAGGAGTTAGGAGATTATTAATGTGTGACCACTACTCTAAAATACAGTGATGGGACCAGACTACTCATCAATTGTGAGTGACTTGAAATGTTACTGATGTTTTACATTGCATTCTTTTAAGATTAAAAAAAGGTCAAAATCCATTGCACAGTGCTGAATATAAAGATCCCGAATCATACAGTGGTGAAGTTCATTGAAACTAATCTCAAACATTGTTAGATTTTACCCTCATATCTGCTCTGTTGAATGGTCTTCTGATCATTGTGACTCAAACAACGCCTGTGCAGGTAAACCAAGAGAAAGCATAATTAATATAACATTTTGCCATTCCAACCTGTCCCTTTCTTCTGCTGAACACATAAGAAGATCATTTCGAAGAATGCTTCAACTACTTTTGTGCATACAATGAAAGACATTTCATAGGGTCCAAAAACAACATTGGAACCCATTGACTTTCCAACAGACAGTTTAAAGAGGGTTCATTTAAACAGCAATGCATGTGCATTTCGTTTACAATGCAATATTGGTTTCCTGTTGCTGTTTCAGTTTGCTGCGGTGGACCTTTGCACACCATGTCAAAGCTTTCAGTCCAGCCAAGTCAACAGCACCTGTGCACTTCTACAGCTGCTGAAATCAAGAGCACTTAACCATAACTGACCTCATTCAGCTACGCTTCTTATTGTATTTGACTAAATGCCATTTATCAGGTATTGTATAGCTATGGATTACTTTTGAGATTTTTCGAGCTTGCAGAATGAACAATTACAGGTACTTGCCAGAAATGACTGCTGCTATTATTGTGCATTGAATACATACTTGATTTCTGCCTAATACACATTTTTCAGACAGATGTTTTATGTATAGCTGGGCTGAAATCCAAACAACACAATCCCAAAATATAGATTTTTGGAAAGAGGTTTTGTTTGATACAATCTCTCTCTCTCTCTCTCTCTCTCTCTCTCTCTCTCTCTCTCACTGCTGCTATTATTGTGCATTGAATACATACTTGATTTCTGCCTAATACACATTTTTCAGACAGATGTTTTATGTATAGCTGGGCTGAAATCCAAACAACACAATCCCAAAATATAGATTTTTGGAAAGAGGTTTTGTTTGATACAATCTCTCTCTCTCTCTCTCTCTCTCACTCTCTCCATATAACTTGCTGTAGTTGTTTTCATTTGCATTCTGTAGTCAGATTTGTTTTTATAAACTGATGTGATAGTTTATCTCCTGTCTTTCTCCTCGCATAATAAACTAATTTAAATTCAAATCAGTATTTCATGTTTATTTGGTAAGTGGTTGTGTTATATTGGAATAATAACCAGTCAGTCTGACTGTATTTGATTCCTTATGTAATATATATTCAGTGATAAAATAAACACACATGCACACTCATGTTGTTACAAAATTGGACAAAACTTGTAGACAAAACGTTGAAGGCAAAAGTGAATGGTAATTTATACTTTCTAGCTAATTTCTATACTTTCTAGGTAATTTATGTTTATTCATTTCAAATCAGGGGAGGTAACAAATCACAGTTCCTTCAGTTAGCCTACAACAATATAATTGGGTCTCTAGTTAAGCTACATCTGCGCTGCTTTGCTCACCTGTGGCTAACACCTCTATAAGTACGTTTACCTCATGTGAAGTGTTTAGAGACGCTTGTGAAAAATGTTCCACTGGTCTTGCTCGTGTTATGAGCAATGAACCACAAAGTCTCACCTTTGCGAGAGAGTGTAAAGATTTTCTATTTGATGTTATTGTAAATAATTTTCTTACCGCTTTCTTAATCACAATAGGTGTTAAATTGTTGTTTTATGCATTGAGAAAAATAAGATTTTTTTGTTTAGCGTATTTACTGTATATTGTGCTTTCCCTGATTCACACGTACATCACGGAGACGTATATTTAACGTCTTTTATAGAGTGTATTGTATTTTTAGTGTTTGTTCATCTGCAGTAGGCTACGTCTATTGGACGTTTCAGATGTCAAATAGACGTTTAGAAGATGTCTTTAAGATGTTTATGATTTAGAATGAATGTGAGATGTCTATCAGATGTTTGTGCACAGCAGATGAAGAGATCTTTATCAGACATCTTGCTGATGTACGTGTGCTATCTGGGTTATGTGTTGTATTGGATCTTTGTATGAAAAGACTTATTGGTAAGTAGGGCCGTGCACAGGGGGGTGGCCCGGTGGCTAGAGCCACTGCTCCTCTGCCCTCATTGGCTGAGGTGCCCCTCTTGAACCCCCCAGCACCCCCACCCACCACTGAACGTGATTGCCCATTACAAGCTATTTAAAAGTGAAGGAAAAGAGGGGGAAAACCCAACGAACCCCACACCCTCAGTGATACCGGTATTATCATCACACATCGATTAACCGGTATATATAGCTATACACACACACACACACATGACCCTGGAGCACAAAAGCAGTCATAAGTAGCACGGGTATATTTGTAGCAATAGCCCAAAATACATTGTATGGGTCAAAATTATAGATTTTTCTTTTATGCCAAAAATCATTAGGATATTAAGTAAAGATCATGTTCCATGAAGATATTTTGTAAATTTCCTACCGTAAATATATCAAAACTGTATTATCATTAGTAATATGCATTGCTGAGGACTTCATTTGGACAACTTTAAAGGCGATTTTCTCAATATTTAGATTTTTTTTGCACCCTCAGATTCCAGATTGTCAAATAGTTGTATCTTGGCCAAATATTGTCCTATCCTAACAAACCATACATCAATGGAAAGCTTATTTATTCAGCTTTCAGATGATGAATCTGGTCATTTATATACATACATATATGTCACTGCTGAAGAATCGCGTCCAAGCGTTACTTTCCTCACCGCTGGCCGGAATGGACCAATCAACGACGTTTGAGATGCTGGACAAGAATGCATAAAGATGTTTAAGGATATGTTTTTACAAAGATTGATTTTCATTTATATATCAGTTACACCGTCCTTGAAATTTATAGATGTAAAATATCACACTTTTTTGTGTACAAATTTGTCCTGTAAGACAAAATCCTTCCTAAAATGTGAATGCCTCTCGACGGCGCGTTCGGTTTTCTGGGCCATCAAGCGCCCCCTGGAGGAATATATTAGTCTGACAGGAAGCATCTGCCGTCCAATGATTTGTGGGAGACAAGTGAAAAGCATTTTGGGTAACTTTGAAAGATGGCGGACGACGCTGAGCAGGTATGCTGTTTTGTTTTATATAAGCAAGTGTATGTTTTTAATAGTTTGGTAGTCGCGGAGCTCGGTCACAGCGGGTGTTTTTATGTATGTCTCACTGAACACACGAGAATGTCGAGGCAGTTTATAACCAGCAGCTCTCAGGCGGTTGTTCATCTGTATTATTGTAATGAAAATTACTGAAACTTAATTTGCAGCAACAAACCACCAACACCGTGGAAGAGCCTCTGGATCTGATCCGGCTGAGTCTGGATGAGCGGATCTATGTGAAGATGCGAAACGACAGAGAACTGCGCGGCAGACTGCACGTGAGAGTCTCCCTCCCTCCCTCTCTCTCTCTCTCTCTCTCGCTCATCCATTCATTTTCTCTCTCTCTCTCGCTCATCCATTCATTTTCTCTCTCTCTCTCTCTCTCTCTCTCTCTCTCCCTCATCCATTCATTTTTTCTCTCTCTCTCTCCCGCTCATCCATTCATTCTCTCTCTCTCTCTCTCTCTCTCTCACTCTTTCATTCTCTCTCTCTCTCTCTCTCTCTCTCTCTCTCTCTCTCTCTCTCTCCTCCTCTTTTGTGTGTGGTTATGAAGTCTAATAGTCGAGCATTTATTATGCTACAGAATAACTTTCCCAGGTTGCTGCTCACACAGATGCCTCTGTAGTTGTTAGGATCAAATTTATCTCAGTTTTTAAAGATTGGTATTATCAAGCCTTGATTCCAGATGTCAGGGAAGTAACCTACACTCAGAAGCACATTGAATAGTTTTAGAATGGCCAATTGGAATTTACTACTTGTGTGTTTTATCATTTCGTTTAATATCCCATCAGGTCCAGATGCTTTTTTGAGTTGGAGGTTTTTGATTTTTTTTCTTTAAGTTCTTTATCAGTTATTGGGAAACCTAATGGGTTTTGGTTATCTTTGATTGCTAATTCTAGTTTTTCCAGTTGGTTGGTTGTTTGATTTTGCTTACAGTTTGTGTCTGTTTGTACTCTCTCTCTCACTCATCCATTCATATTCTCTCTCTCTCTGACTCATCCATTCATTCTCTCTCTCTCTCTCTCTCTGTCTCACTCTCTCTCTCTGTCTCACTCATTCATCCATCCATTCATTCTCTCTCTCTCTCAATTTCAATTTTTCAATTTCAATTTGAACTGAGAGATAAAGCACGCAGGGCCTTCTACGCCATCAAACGGCAATGTCCTATAGAGATCCCCATTAGAATTTGGCTGAAAATATTAGAATCAGTAATTGAGCCCATTGCCCTCTACGGCAGTGAGGTGTGAGGTCCACTGACAAATCCAAATCAAGATTTCACCAAATGGGAAAAACATCTGATTGAGACCCTGCATGGAGAACTCTGTAAAAATATATTACACATGCACCGGCACGCAACAAATAACGCATCATGCATTCTCTCTCTCTCTCTCTCTCTCTCTCTCTC